GAAAGGGTGTTATGCTGACACATGTCTTTTCTGCATCTATTGAGATAGTCGTATGCTTTTTATCTAGTTCTTTATATGGTATATCACATTTACTGAACCATTTTTGTATTCCAGAAATAAACTGCCCTTGATCATGGTGTATGATCCTTTTAATGTGCTGTTGAGTTTGGTTTGATAATATTTTGTTGATAATTTTTACAAAGGTAATTACCAGGGATATTGGCCTATAGTTACTTTTCTTGTAGTGTCCTTATCTGACTTTGGTAGCTAGGTAATGCTGGCCTCATATATTGAGTTTAAGAGTGTTCTTTCCTCTTCAATTTCTGGGAATATTTTTATTTAAATATTTGGTAAGATTCACCATAGAAACCATTACAAAATCACGTTTGAAGAAAACATCTCCAATTTAGTTCTTGGGAAAACCAACAGATAAAATTTTGACAAACATGGACTAATACTAAGCAGTGACCAAATAAACTTGAAAATAAGCCATCATATTTTAAACAGTAATAATAAATTTGGATATGCTAAAAGCAACTGAAACTGAGAAATAAAAACTCACTGAATGACAAAAATAGCCAACTAGAAAGAAAGATAGTGAGTTGGAAATAGATGTAAAGAAATCATTCAAAATGTAAAAAAGAGAATGTGTAAATATGAATTGAGGTTAACAATAGGTGTTATACGTTTATATAGATTTCTTTTTTTAATAGAGAGAAACATCTGGAGAAGAAACAACACAGGGAAATATAAAGGAAGAAAGTTTTCCAGGCATAAGAATAACAAGCATTCACAGGTAAGGGAAGCATAATATATACTAACAGAAAAGAACAATTAGACTGACACATAATTCCTCAACAGCAAGAATAAAAGCCATAATAAGCCTTTGGCATATTGTCGTCAGAACACTCAGAGAAAAAAAATATATTAATCTATAACTGTGTGCTAGGCACAAGTATATGAATCCATAATTTTGTTCTTTAAATGAGACATTTTTAATGAATAAAACAAACAGTAGTTTAATACTTACTGAATAGTACCAAAGGGACCTGTAAAAGTTGGATTTTAAAAAAAGGGAAAATTATCCCTGGAGTCTCCTTTTATTTGGTATTCTGAAGAG